TTATTCAAAAATTCGTAGTTCAAAAGTCCTCCATACTAGACAAACGTCTCGTATGTTTTTCTATTGGAAAAAGGAACCTATTTTACGAAAATATTACAAGTCAAATTTGATCGGACATTTTCCGAAATTTTTCCTTATGTTTAAGGGCCATTTTTGCCATCTACAGACGTTTTTTCCAAAAATGTACAGGTCAGAAGTTCTCCAAGCCAGGAAAACGTTCTGTATATTTTTCAATAGCGAAAAAGAGTTTCTTTAACAGGAAACTTTCAGACTAAACTCGAACTGAAAATTTCGAGTTTTTCCTTTGAGTTTAAAGGCGACTTTTGTCTTCGCAACACTGTTTGGTTAAAAACTCGTAGCTGAAAAATCATCCAAAGTATAAAAACGTGCTGTATATTTTCCAACAGAGAAAAGGAGCGTATTTTATGAAAATATTGCTTATAATACGTCGAATTCGATGCAAAATTTTCTGAAATGTTGTTTTATGTTTAGGGCGATTTTTGGCTTCTGCAGACTTTTTTTCAAACGTTCGTACCTCAGACGCTTTCTATGCTAGAAAAACGTTTTGTAGAGCAAAATGTTTTGTAGACCAATAGAGCAAAAAAGTTCTTTTAACGGAAAGCTTGCAAACTAAACTGAAACTGAAAATTTCGAGTTTTTTCTTTGGGTTTAAAGGCGACTTTTGCTTTTGCGACGCGATTTATTAAAAAATTCGTAGCTCAAAAGTCCTCCATATTAGACAAACGTCCCGTATATTTTTATATTGAGAAAAGGAACCTTATTTATGAAAATATTAAGTCAAATTCGATCCGAAATTTTCCGAAATTTTCCCTAATGTTTAAGGGCCATTTTTGCCATCTACAGACGTTTTTTCCAAAAATGTACAGGTCAGAAGTTCTCCAAGGCAGGAAAACGTTCTGTATATTTTTCAACAGAGACAAAGAGTTTCTTTAACGGAAAAGTTGCAAACTAAATTCGAACTCAAAGTTTCGAGTTTCTCCTTTGAGTTTAAAGGCGATTTTTGTCTTCGCGACACTCTTTGCTCAAACATTCGTAACTCAAAATTATTTCAAACTCAAAAAGCGCCCTATATATTTTTTAATTGAGAAAAATGCACTTTTTGAGACAATTGCAAGCCAAATTCAATCTCAGAGTTTTCGAGATTTCTACACGCGTTTTTTTCAGAGGTTCAGAAGGCGACTTTGGTCTTCCAGACGCGCTTAGTTTGAAAGTTCATAGCTCTAACCCATTTTAATATAGGAAACCATCCTGTACACTCTTCAGTAGACCGAAATAGTCACTAAATCCTCATTACAGGTGGAAAGTGAGGGCGATGACAGGCCGAACATCGAGCAAACGCCTCAAGCCCGAAAGCTAGAGGAAGATAGAATAGAGGTGTCCCCTTTGCCTCCTGCTCTGCCTCCACGACCGCCTCCCAGGCCCCGCTACGATGGAAACAGCAGCTTAAACTCCCGATATCGACCGCAGATTGGTAAGCGCCGAAACCCTCACTTACTGCGACGAAAAAACATGTTTTTCTATCGAAGATGCTTCTTTGAAGCATCGAAAAAGTAGCGTAGAATTTGAAGGACAAAAGCGTTGAAGCGATTTTTAATGAGCCGAGGAATTCCCAGGTTCTTCGCGCCTCTTCAACTGTAAACCGTTTTTTTGGCTCGTTTGTTAATTAACACACACACTCCAGATCATCGGGCTATCGCTGCAATGGGCGATTTTTGTCAATATGAAAATGGGCAAAAAGTGGCCATCATCAGTGGGCGGCGGCCTGTTGTAGGCCCAATTAAAAACCACTGATAAATTGGAAGAACATGTGGTTGACCAATTATATCCGCCGGGTCTTTTATGACGGTTAATCAGCTAATTAGTTGGATTCGATTTTAACAGTCTGCTCGATTCGGAGTGATTGGAATCGTGCCATTTGGGCACGCAGCTACTCCGGAGGACTTTAGTTATTATGCAAATTCACGTTGATTAATCCCTCCAAGCACTTCGACTTTGTTAATTAATTGCGATCTCACATGCGCTCCACTTCCGCTTCAGATTAA